TTGTTTGAGAGTAAAATCGTTTATAAATAGACCATTTCAATGATTTATCAGCAAAACACCTAAGCGGTTTCCACTACTTATGGGTGAATACATTCTAATTACAGACCTGATGGTTGAATATGGTCTCCTCTTTTCGCTGATCAGATTCCTGAAAAAGTTGACAGGCACTCATGCAGCCTCCAACAAATATGTATTCCTAGTGTGAATGCAGTTAATGACCTGGGTCAAAACTGATAGGTTCAGTTTCCCAGAAATGGATCAGGCCTACTAACCATACCCCCGTCCCCAATGGAGGTCTTTGCTGAATTTATCTTTAAGTCTAAGACTAGGAGTAATCCCTGTCGGAAAAACCTGCCGATAGTTCTTGTTTTGCAGTACAGTCCAAGGATCACCTGCAGCTAAAGTTGTTTTAGATTTAAGTGGGCTTTGTCCCTCATGTTTGAGAAAAGAGTACCCCTTTAATGACCAGCATGAGCAGTAATCAGAAGAATTACATGTACTCGTGACTGTTATTTTCCTTTAATTATATTTTTCTTGCACACATATCTGACAAATGAAGTATGTACTCTGTATGTACACCTAATTAAGTCGTTATAATTACATTTAAAAAAGCATGTAGTGATATTGATGGCTTTTTTTTAAATTATTGCCTATAATAACTTGTATATCACACAATTAAAAACATTTTGAGGGTCTTTTTTATGTGTGTGATTTTTAAACATCAGTAAATCAGTTTTCTTGAGATACTGCCGCCCCTCACTACTCGTTAGACTCAATAGTTAAGTAGACTACAACCAATTTAAACTCAGACTAAGCTTAATAAAATCCCACATGTGAAAATCCAAGCTAACTCAACGAGATATTTTAATATGCTCACAGGATATGAGCTTAGAGAACCCTGGAGTCAGAAACTGCCTGCGCGGTTTTAAATTATTCATCAGAACAACTGTTTAGAATGACACCACACCATCATTGTTTTTATTTGCTCCAAGTTCTCCTCCTCCTCCTCCTCCTCCTCCGTCCCTAAGGCAGAGAGAATCAAAGCCAAATCTCGTTAGGAGGTTTCAAACGTGGAGGTGAGACTTAACCTGCAGAAGGAGAGGCTGGCTGCATTGTGTGAAGAAGCATCCTATGCGGGAGAACAGAAGCCAGGAATCGTGCAGATTTTAACCCAATTTCTTGAAACCCGGCACAGAGGCTGACTGAAAAATAATTATTCTTAGTGTGCAGTATCATTGATTTCTAGACAGTGAAGGGCATGGTTATTTAGAAATCTTATCACAAGCGCTGTGCGCGGCAAATAATGTTGAATCCCAAAATGATGTAAGGCGCGTGTCCTAATAGGAATATAAAGTACCGTATCGCCTTTGATTTCCCACAAGTGATCAAGGATAGTGTACAAAATGCAGTGCTTGCGATAATCAAGTGTAATCACTCTTGCTTTGGCAGCAGCCCTTGAAGTTGCTCTATCTGTTGCTGCATCAGTGATCCGCCCGGTTCGAAGATGGCCCGTGCAGGCTCCTAGTCTGTCTTTGATATCTCCACCCCTGCGTCTGGGTTTGTTAAGCAGTCCGATGAGGCAATTTTGCCTTTCATCTTTCTTTTTTCCAATTTCATTCTTAGCTGTCAGTACTTAATTAATGTTTTTTGCCGCAATTTTTCCAACCTTCACCGCCGATGACAGAGATGCGGCGAGGCTATTTATATTATCAACTCATTTCATGAAGCCAGACCTTGGCTTCTAGTTTGTATTCCGAGCCTTGTGACAGGAACCTGATGTGGCATTTGGGGGAAAAAAGCATCAGCCATCATAGGATACACTGCATATGAAGACTGATGATATCAACTGATGTTATCAACAAAGTCGTTTGGGGTCATAATATGAAGGAATATGTGTGATAAGGGGGAAAAAAACTGTCAGCTTTTGACACTTGGTCCTCTTCTTCATAAATAGGGCTATGGTGGTTTTAATTTTCAGAAACCCCACCATTACTCTTGCCTGTGCATGTTGTCTTCATAAGGTCATGCAGGAATACCAAAGACTTGCACAAAAGAGAGTTTCCTTCAGCAGTGGAAAAAGCTATTCTATCATCCAAGGTGATTGTTTCTCATGCATTATTCGTGAGAGGTGGGTGTCAAATTGAAGCAAATCAATATGCTGAAGGTGAAAGAAACACAGCAGATATGAAGAGCGTATATGTCTCTGAGTTTATTAACGGAGGAGTGTATGATGAAACCTGTAACCCTCCGTCCACACACAACTTTTGTAAAATTAAGTTCATCCAGTACAACCAGATCAGGTACAAGATCAAGAATCTTCTGAGCTGCCTCGGATGTGAAGGAAAACGTTGGCTTCCGTTAATGGTCCTGTACTGAAAATGGAGCGTCCCAGTTTCTTTTATCATCACAGCACATTCACAAGTTTCAAAATGGGGGGGAAAAAAAGGTCTCGACAACTGCACAAACAGGTTTTTTTTTTTCACTTTTGTTATTTTTGTCCCAGGACTCAATGCATAGGATTATACAGTTAGAATACAGTATTTCAACGCGTTTTACAAAGATTTATATGATATAGGAAACGAGAAATAAAAATAATAACTGCACAGCAGTAAGAACGGTCATTTGTCGAGTATAGATAGTCATTTATCGTACACACTGTGGAACAGCTGAGAAACACAGGGCAAAAAATGAACACAACTGGAACAATTTTGCGCATATCCATCTACATAAGGATAACCTTTTGGCTTCAGACTAATTTAGGAATGCCAGACATTTTCAAGGGAAACCCAAATCACATTGGCCACTGTTTTACATTTAATCAGTTTGGCTTTTTTTTTTTCTTTTTTCTTTTTTTGCCTTACCCACCAAAGTCCTACTAAGCACACACCACAGACACCCAAAGGAAATGCACACGTCAAAATTGCAACCATAAAAGAAATCTTACTGAAACATCTTCAGCCTATTGGCACGCAAATGGCTGCAGCAGGGCATCTAGCATTTGAGACAGCACACATAAGATCACAAGTCCAAATACATTGCTGTGTCTATATCACTATCATCATCATAGTCACCTAGGTTACCAGTAGAATAACTTAGAAACAATATATGTAATATCCTATATAAGGCACATTTTTGGTGAAAGAAAGGCTCTGAAAGAAGCTTCTTGCATCAACTCTGTCAGTAAGAAAGGACTCAGCAGTAAACAACACCGGAGACAAGGATGGAGCCTGCAGTTGGCATGCAATTAAGATCAAAAGCCTCCCCTGCTGATTCCATTATACAGAGTGCCACTCTGCACTGCGCTGAGTGGGCAGTGCCAAGTGCTGTTGGTCGGGATGCCAGGGTGCCATGCTGAGACAGCAGGCAGGCAAGCTCGAGGTCTGTGCACACCTCTCTCTAGCGAAGGCAGGAATCATTAACATTCTTGGGGCTGTGGAGAGCGTCATGCGCCGTCAAATCCACACACCCATGATCAGATACAGCGAGTACAATTAAATCATCTGTCAACAGCAAGGCCTACAATTTAGGGACGGCGTCTAATGGCCCAAGAAATAACCAACCTACCCTGGCGACACCTCGGTTCTGACACTGACATATCAATAACCCAATTAATATAACAATTATGTACACGACTGAACCAAACAACCCCCCTCCCTCCCCCGACATCATACAGAGGCTAAATCCACGATAATTGTTCAGAGCATGCCATTTAAGTACCGACTGAATCTCATCTAAATTATTAACATCAGCGACAGGCTATTTCATAGCTGTAGAGGCAGAATTCGTGATGACTATTTGGAACATTACAAGGGTAATACTAAAAATATGGTACAAAAATCATAAACATGAGCAATGCATAAAACAATTTGAATAGTCTTCTAACATATTGCTGAACTGCTACTTTAGTAAGCAAATGCAACTGTTGATTGTGGCTCATGGTATACTGACATTATTGCAGGGCTAATATGAGTGACACGAATCTGTGGCAGGAAAAATGGTTGCTTCTTGCTGATACATATATGTATATAAAAATAAAACAATATAGCAAAGGAAAAAAAACTTAAACACAGTCTTTAACTATAATATCTTTAAAACGTATTAAATGTCCTTCTGTGCTTTAGTTGAAGTGGAATGTTTCATGGCACTGTACAATAAAGGGAGACAGACTGTGCTATTATCGATTTCCACGAGCACAACAGGCAATCCAGCCGGAACCAAATCCGAGTCGAAAGAAAAAGAATATAACTCAAATGTTTCTGAAACGCCTGGTGATCTGTCATTCATATGAGCCTGCACATTGCTAGATTAACCAGCGTCCTTTTGAGGACCCTTTGGTCTCTGTCATAAAGCTCATTGAGAGCACAGGCTCCAGTGTGTTACTGAGTATGGGGGAATTAAAACGACAAAGCAGGCGTCCTGTCACCCTCGCGCCTGACAGTAGGCATCCCGTGTGTGCACGCACAATTTCACACATTCGCACACGTGCAATCCACCCAAACGCACACTTAAATTCAGCAGCACACACTCTTTTTTGTTTTTTCCACAAGTACTTCACACAGGCATCTACGCATACACAGGCTAATAAAAACACTATCCGCACCACAAGGTGATCCATTTAAAAAGATATTTTTTCTTATAAAGCTTTCCGCATAAAGACTGCACGATAAAAAAAATATATAATACAACTCTTAAAACCATTTTTTTTTTTTTACACAGAGTGAAATTGAACATCTGATTATCTCCTATGCCAGTGCTCCACAGAGGGGCTTAAATCTCAGAGAGAGTTCTGCCGCACTGCATTGTGGGAGCAATATTCAGTGAAGCATGAATGAGTGCGCAGACCTTTAAGGTTTGGCAAGTGAGCTTTAAGGCGTACCTATGACAGTGTAACCCACCATTTTCTTCCTGTCTCCTCTCTTTCTGCATTTCATTAGTCTGTTACTTCACACAGAACAGAAAATTACCCCAGGACCAAGTTGTACAATAAACACGCCCATTTCTCACATTTCTGGAATTTATTCACAAAAAAAAAAAAAAAAGAAAGAAATAAGCCCCTGTAGTCACTGGCGATATTCCCCCTTCCCTTGGTTCCTCCCTCCACTTAGTGGGTTAGAGATCAGTCACTTTGTTTTCCAGGGCGGCTGCTATCTGCTGGAGCCGCAGGGCTAGCTGTTTACTCTGGGCAGCTGGGTCCTCTTCCAGAGAAGCGATGATCTGGAAAAAAAAAAAAAAAAAAAAAGGAAGGTAAGAAGGACAGTAAAAAAAAAAAAGTGAGATGTCGGGTATAATAGGTGTAGAGGATAGAGAGGAGACAAAGAGTTGGACAGAGGATGGCATAAGGGTAATGTCGGAAAAGCAAAGAAACAAGGAGGAGGGGGATGGACAGAGAAGAAGCACAGGAAGAAGAAGAAGGGTGGAGAGTGGGAGGAGAAGATGGTGTTATTCGACATCAGCAATCGCGTCATATAAGCTGTTATTCTTTGCGAGTCCCACTTAGGGGAGACTGACAGCCCCATTTGTTTATCCAACTTGTTCATTAGGTTTTGTTTATCCCCTTTTCGTGACCTCAAGTGGCAATGCACAATGGACTCTTAAAAATCAATTCCCAGAGCAATTTTCCAATTCACATCCCACAGAAATGCTTTCAATTAAAATTTCATACAATCACTTTTCTGGCATATCAAGAGTGAAGAGAGAGAGAAAAAAAAGGAGAACCAATAATATAGTGGGCAGTAGTGCATTCAGTGGAATAGCCTCCTTCGGGTGTGATAGGAAAAAGAAGGGCCTCTTACCCCATCATAGTATTTGCTGGCGTACTGGTAAAGCTGATGGAGAGCCACGTGTGTGTTCAGTTTGTCTGTGTGAGACTGAAAAACATAAACAGAAATTTAAAGGTTAAAGTGGAAATCCAACCAAACCACGAACCTGGACCCAGCTGAATAAACTACACCCAGGCTTTAAAAACTGTGGCGGAGCAAATGAGAATTACTGCACACACATAAATAAGCCTCTGAACAATGCTGATATGTAATGCCACCGGGCATTAAAGTTATAATCCTTAAGATTTTCATAAACTCAAATCCTGTTTTTCATATTATAATATAAAGAAAGTCAATTATTGACATGCTTTTTGGTTAAAACCATTTGAGTTAATTCGGCAACAGTGCAAACAAATACACCAGTTCCTCTTTTGTTGTTTTCAGCAGCATGTAGTTGCAAAGTGCACCCTTGGCGCAGTAAGTAAAAAATACAATTTTCATACAGTCCTTCCTGTGGAAAATGTTATGTGGATGCCACATCAATGCAATATGATTCAATTATGACTTTCTCCATTGGTTTCCTGTGTCACCCTATCCTATCTGCTGACAATTAAAGACAAAAACACCCAAAATAAATGGAACAAAAAAAATATTTTAACATTATGGACTTGAAAGTGGACTATGAATCTCTCACAGTTGACATGCCAGTACAAAAGAGGCTTTAATAATAATAATAATAATAATAATGATTATGATGATAATAATAATAATAATAATGGATTGCATTTATAAAGCGCTTTTTGAGAACCTCAAAGCGCTGTACAATTCCACTATTCATTCACTCTCACATTCACACATTGGTGGAGGCAAGCTACAGTTGTAGCCACAGCTGCCCTGGGGCAGACTAACAGAGGCGAGGCTGCCATATTGCGCCATCGGCCCATCACCAGTAGGCGGTAGGTGAAGTATCTTGCCCAAGGACACAACGACCAAGCCTGTCTGAGCCAGGGCTCGAACCTTCCGATTACAGGACAAACTGCCAACTCTTGAGCCACGATCTTGGCACGATCGTGGCTCAAGAGTTGGCAGTTCGTCTTTAGAAAGGAAATACCTTTTTCTTAACGTCCCCGGGGGCATTTGGTTAAAAAAACAAAACCAAAAAACCCAACAATCTTAAATGTGTTCAATACCCACACTCGAGGGATGTTAAAAAGCATGTTTTAGACTGAAACCTTAAGGATTGCAACATTAACAGCAAGACAAGTTTTTATCCCAGAGCTGTAAAAGCATTAAATGCTGCATTGTCCACATGATTGTGCTGTGTGCAATGGAGGGTTTTGCAGTTTAGGTGAATGGAGAAAAGTTGTTTTTTTTTTCCATCTCTTATATAGTTTAATGCAATTTACAGATTTAGTTTTATGACTGTTGTGAGTGATCTCTGCACTATAGACACTGCACTTATTAACTGCACATGTTACAGTGACAATGAAGATATTCTACTCTATTGTGTTCTATTCAAAAATGACAGATGTATTCCTTACCCGTGACACCTCTGCCAAGTGAGTGTTCATGTCCTGGTCGCTGACAGATACCATCTGCCTGATGCCCTTGTAGTAACTAAACACACAGACACACACATAAAGAGTAGACAAGAGGTGGTAATTGCTCCATTATGTTAACTGATATTTAAAAAAAGGTATTACAGTCTCCAATAATAACAGATGGAAAGTGCTGCCAGTACTTACTCATCTACCATCTTCTTATAGGTGGAGATCTCCTTTGCATAGAGTAGTTTGTTACTTGGCGAGTCCTAAAGGGGGAGGGATACAACTCAGTGAAAATGGCACTTTAAATTAACGTGCCTATAACCTTTTCACATAATCAAATTTGTTCTCATCTTCTGTCCATCTTTTCACCCATCTTCCTTTTTTCCTCCTCACTCCTCCACCTCATATTCTCCCACCCCTCCCTCCTCTTGTCCATTCGTTTCCACTCACCCGGCTGAGTTTGTGCTCACTCTTGGTGCAAGCATCCATAAAAGTCTGGGCGATGACAGAGAGTGAGGCGTCCACCACTTCAGACACGTGGACGTCAAAGATGAAGTGGGGATTCTTGAGGATGTTCACCCAGAACCGCAGAGGCAGGCTGCACGGGTATTAAAAAGAGGGGCAAGAAATCAGTCTATCATCACTGGTTGTTATCGGTATTATTGTTTCAGAACGGGGGGGGGTGTCTCATCAACCGCATTACATCCATGAATTAATTTAAGTCAGGGAGGCATTTCATTTCATGTGTGAGAGCACTTGCCTGAGGTGCAATTGAGTGCAGTACAAGATAATAACAGCGATGGAGAAAAGCCTTTCGTGTCGGTGTCAGTTTATTCAGAACAATACCCTTGACTGTCAGTTTATATTACTGTTTCACACGATGCTGACCTCTGTGAGAACTATTGCTGTTCACGGAAAATTAAATGAAAAAGAAAAAAAATGATCTCTGAAGACTTTTTTTTAACAACTAAAGGGATCTGCACAAAGCAACATCCAATGACGCTTGTCTACTCTAACAAACAATGATTAGAAATGATAAAGCAGCTGACCTCTGAGGTTCCTCTGCAGCCTAACAACTTAAAGCCCAGACTACATAATGCAATGCTCGAACGGTCTTGCTAATTTCCCCCCTGAATGGAAAAACAAACTCCACAGACTTTCTTCCAAACTCATATCAGCTTTTACATTCAAAAGAACAACCAAATACAATAGTTTAGGAAAAAAACTCCTCCCCAATCGGTGAGAACGTCTTCTGCCATCTGAGAGAAGAAACGCACCGCATAAAATTCATACTGGTTTGGTAATATCTCCAGGGAAGGCTGCCGTGAGAATACAATGGAAGCATAAAAATAGCAATGTTGTCATAATCACAGAATTAAATTAGCTTGGGACATAATTACCATGTTTGTTTGTTGTTATGCCTCATACACACATTCATATTTAGTACATGGCCCTCAGTTGATTTGATAAACAGAACGGGCGGATGCAGAGTGTGGTGTGGAGTGTAGTAAGTAATTAAATCGCTCATCTTCTGTCCTTGTGTGGCTGCTCTCTTGCCAGCCTTGCGTCAATCACCGGCATCTACATGCAACACGTCGTCTTGTATGCTTGAGCCTTAGCCGACGTGACACTAATTTATGCACTTAAATGTCACATGGGAGCAGGGGGATTGCAAATGCAAACTAAGTAAGTTGAAATTGGGCATTTGTATTCTGTCCATTCTGGGATAAGTAAGTTTTATTTCTTGGAGAGTTACAGTGTCTCAGGCAGTGGGATTTCTGTTGGTGGGAATGAAATCGGATAGCTGTGTTTGTGTGGACTGGTTGTGAAATTGTATACCACAGTCGTATCTAAATGAGAGGTCCTTGTATTTCATTCAAGATGCATTTTTTCATACTATGCCATACTTCTGCACCACTATAGTTAAGACGAAATTATCCTAGAAAGCTGCTCTTACTATTTTACATTTTCGGGAGTTATAGCTACTCATTGGTTTTCTGATTTAAATGAAAAAACAACAACCTGTATCTAATGGAAAGCATTAAGATTAACTGAATCAGCCAATCAGTTTAGTGCTCAGATGGTTCCGGTCTGAAGAGGAAAGAGGGGGAAAGCAAATACTTTCCCCCTCTCCCGGCAAAAATGGCAATAATATATGAACAGTCCAAATTTGGGAGAAAATATTGATTCAATTTTTTTATAATTAAACTGAAGATGAAAAGATTTCCCATAGTCCACTAATACAACATGTTACTTTAAACATTTAGGTAAAAGGTACTGTCAAAATGTATGAAACTATCTGCATAATTTCCTGTTCTATTAAGGAGGAGGGAACAAGATGTAGTAATTATACACATTTGGTTGAAATACCGTTAATAGCAAGTGGGGAAAAATGCCTCTCAGGGAAGGAAACATCAACAACAATGAACTAGCTGCTAATGACCATCTAACATCCCTTAATGGCAAAGGCTGATATCTATATTGACTACATGGAGCATAGAGCCACAGAGGAGCACTCTGTGATCGCCACCCTTTTCCATGCTCTGATTGCAAGGATTGGAAAACTTCTTTAGGACCTAAACCTATTTGATCAGTGTGTTACGTCCAAAATATTATACAGATAAAACCCTTGAGAATGACCCCAAATCCACTTTTTAAATTGTCCTCTAGTAAATAAAAAAATAAATCCCAGGCACAGATTCTTCTGTTACTCTAAATCTTAGACAATAAATTGCTGCAGTGGAAAAACTGTGATATATTCTCTGATACTGATGCATAAAGTAGGTCATAGAAAAAAATCCTGGCAAATAAAAACAAGATTTTTATTTTACATTGCAACACTTGGAGTGGGTTCCTGTGTTTAAAAGAGCTTAAATTTGCTTTTCAGGTGAGAATAAAGTTTAAGTGGCTATCTCCTGTACTTATAAAGTTATGCGGGCCCATAAAATCTGGGGAAAAATAGTACTTTATATGTACTTTAGGGGACAGTAACACAGAAATAGTTATTGTCTGATGCTTATTCTGAGGGAGTCATGTGGACTGATTGATTTCATGGAATGAGGCCGGAAACAAATACTTTTGTACTTTTGATACTTGGAGTACATCCACATACTAACATACAGCATACAAAAAGGAACTCTGAGAGTGATCATTAGTGTACGCAGTCGACCTGTTGTTTTACCTATTCGTCTTCCAGATATGGATAGTCTCCTCATCCACATTGTTGTGTTTCAGCGCTTGCTCATCCAGGAAGTCGAAGAAATATTTGACAGCTGGTGGGACCACTGCCCCAGAGCACAGCACGCTGCGGAAGAAGTCATCCACAAACTGCTGAAGTGTTCCCTGAAAGGGGCCACAAATAATGTGAGACAGGGCAGAGACACAGAGCGCAGCCAGAAATACCAGAGGCACAACTATTTGCAAGGAGAGTATAGCTATTCAAGTTTTTACTGTGCATTTTCGGCTCTTTCCAAAATAGCTTTAACTTGGAAAAACCTTGGTTTGTAAAGCAGAATTTTACTGTTTAGTCAGTGTAACAGTGCCCTATTTACTGTAATAATTGCATAAATGTTTTTTTCTTGTACCTTTACGGAAAGGAGTCTTGTTAGATAGATCTCTGTAATGGCTTTGGTCATCGACTTGTCCTTTATGCTTCCTCGTTTAGATTTGGTCTCATCCAGTTCGTCTGTTGGCCTCACCAAGTGAAACACTTTATCATCTTCCAATAAAGCATTTCCTATTGGAGGAAAACACTGGTGTAAACTTTCTTTTGACAATTCTGCTTCTTATTTATTCATGCACATGCTTACAGAAAACATTCAGACGATTAAAATTAAAACATGAGAGGGTGTGTCTACTGAATTTGAATGAGACTATCCAAGAAGAAATGCTAAACCATCAAATACTCTCAAATGTACATAAAAAAGCTGAAGATAAAAGGACATACTATTTCTGCATAATCTCAAAGCGTGTTATACATAAAACAACATGTATTAGCATGTTAATTGGTCATGGGAATATGGACAAAAACCCTGGAGAAACAAAACAAAGGCAGGAACTCTCAAGTACACATTTCATCTGTGTCCTTCTGGGTTCAACACGTGTGTGTTTATGTGCACGGCATGCGTGTACTTAGAGATACGTACGCTCCTCGTGGTTTTCCTGATTCTGGTCATAGTTCTGTTGCGTGTGCTGCACTTTGGACAAAACTAATGTGGCGTTATCCCGCACCTGGAATGTACAGTCAATCATTTTGTTAGATGACAACACACACAACGATGCAAACTTAACACACCTTTGAATTTAATAGCTACTGTGACTGTGGTCAGCAGTGCCTTTTAGCACCCAGATCTAATTCCTAATCAATGCGAATGAGCGGACACGAACAGTGAGTCTTTATTGGGATATTTACAGGCCATTTTCTTTGGCGTCAACCTATTATTGACCCCACAAATACTGTGATTAGCGCTACCCTGACACAGCCAATGAATCTATAGGAGCAGGTCTGTTGTCTAAGAACAACAGCGAGACAGCAGGTAGGATGAAAGAAACTCGAGCACCTTTAAAAGAGGCGGATTTAAGTGGCTGAAAAGCAGAACAGGTAGGGGATATTCACGAGTGACCTTTATTTTCTGTGGATCAATACAGTGCCAAGACGATTTAGTGGCATTCTGTCACCACTGAGAGCCAACAAGACCAAACAAAGAGAAAGCTATGGGACTCGCAGGTAAGAAATTAAATTTTGTAGGTGATAAAAACAAAAAGTGAAGAATTTTATTACAGTGCTATTGTATAGCATATTCTTTGGGCCAACATTATCGTAAATGATCTATCTTGAACACCTATACACTCCATGAAAGTTAATGATGAAATCTTTAAGCAGCACTTTAAGGATAAAAGCTTTTTTTCTCTTAGCTTTTACACAGCTTAGTAGTTACTGGCATAGAAAGGAGAGTGAAAACTCTGTGATGGTTGTTGGACTTGAACTAAAGAGTCATATAAAAAGATAAAAGGAAGCTTCCAATGTTATCCTTGAGAACATATCGCACATTTACTTTCTCTTGCTATGGTATTTCATACATATTTTATAAAAAAGAAATCTTAATCTTGTTTCCTCAGGTAGGGTCACATGTGAGCTGTTGCATGACTGCAATTTTATATGGTTTGACAAAACAACACATTACAATGTGGCTTTGTAAGCAGAAAGCTGTGTCCTTGCCATACATCTTGCTAATTTTTTTTTATTGCAGAAAATACTTGGAAGAAAAAACTAAAATGGCTTAATGTAGGATTGCATAGAAAGACATAACCAAGAGAAGAGACTTCTAGTATGCAAAGATACAAGTATCAGCAATTTATTTTTACCTAAAGGTAAGTTTAAATGCTTATATATAAATAAGTATTTATAGGTATACTTATTTATACTGAGAGATTAGGTATAAATTGGTGGTAAAAAAGTAAGGTAAATAAACATTTTGTTATTGTGGAAAAAAAAGAAAAGAAATACATTTAGAAACTCTACATATAAATTACATTATACATTCGAACTGAATGCACATTAAATGGTCATTGATTTACATCAGATACTGAACCCCAGTCATTTGGTTTTGTAATTTCAATTCTTATTACTGCATAGTAAATTTTTGCAGTACTCACGTTGTAGTGTGCCAGAGTATTGATGCGTTTCCACCTGCCTTCTTTCTGGGAGGTCAAGTCCAGATCCGACAAAATCTGGCCCGTTGAGCCAGGGCGCCACTCTGTGATGAAGGCAGGATGAGACTGTTATTCAAAACGCAAGTTATCTCTGCTGTGGGAGTAAAACATTTCAAATAAAATACTTTTTTATATTATTTCAATTACTTTTATCCTGGGATGCGGCTGTCCTGTGGTTACACTGTAATAATGTGATCTTTAACGAATGCAGCTATCTGCTCAGTTATCTCTTGGGATTTAATGATGCATTTATTAAATTCGCCTGTTAGCTATATGGCTGAACTCGGGTGAAGAAGTCACATGTCAGTAGTTTCTGCATAATTGAAACATAATAGAAAAGTTTGCACCCAAACACATTCTGCATAACTGAGCCCACCACCGTCTGCATTTCATTTACAACTAAAACCAAATACAAGGCAGTTAGCCTGAAAGAAAATAGATCTCTGCTTATCTAAAATGTATAAAGGAATGAGATCTACAGCGTGCGTGGGAATAAAAAAATGACTTTGAAGTTAGAAAATGTCTGTGGAGCTTTAGCCTTTCAAGTCACTCCCCAAGGTTTCTGATTACAGTAGCGAGCATAGCTTTGTTTAGGGATGAACGATTTCTTCATGTTGCTGACAATGAATAAATTCTAAGCTAAGTTGGTTTCTTTTACTCCACAAACTGAAATAAAAAGCTGTTTTATTAAAATAATAAAATATACTGAATACATGTGAAATGAAATAATTATTCACCCTCTCAGATAACTCACTTCTCATTTAATTATGAATTAATTTCACTTAAGACTGAAATAACAGTTACATTATTTATCATTACTAGACGTTCCTGCTTTAGTTCATCTGCTTTTTTTTAGGTGGCCGTCATTTACTCACCCAGGGTGACGCTGTCGACTTTGGGCCGCTGGGAGTATGGCAGGTTCCTGTACACCTGCTCGATGATCTTCTCTTTCACCTGCGAGATGGTGTCACAGTTCAGCACCTTGACGGGCGTAACATCCGGCCCCTCGCCTTGAACCAGCACTTGCAAGGTCTGACAAACAGAATCGCACATTAATACCTCACGCTGATAACGCGCACCTACGTTAATAAAATACAAACATGCAGAAATATTCAAACATGGTCAGAGCACCCAGGCACCCACCCACGCCAAGTTCTATTTGGATGTTGTTGTCACAGCAACAGGGCTTTATAAGCACACAAGCACACACACACAGACACACATTGGTGACACCTGACAGGACTTTTGGCCAGCTAATGACCAAAGCTCAGCAGGAGCCAACTGACCCGCCTCGCCTCTCACATCCAATTCTGTTAGAAATAACTGACCATTCAACGCTTTCAAATGTGAGCCAGGGAATACACTCACAATGGCAACCCTATCAGCCCAGCTGCATATAAAGTGCATAAGAGTAGCACGCTGTAAATTTAAGCCAGTAGGAAGCAATGCATCTGCTTTTGAAATCTGTCAAGCGTTTTTTCTTTCCTCCTCCCTATGTAATTCAATCACAGAAAGCAATCCATCACAGAAGGAGACGTGTAACTCACGCTAATTTGATAATTGTCCTCGACAACGCCATTACCCATGGGTCTTTTTATTTGTGCTGACTTTAACAAAAAACAGCTGGGTTCATATTAGCTTCCATTACCGAGACACAATATCAAAACGAGACACACGGGCATTTCCTGACTCCTGAAAGCTGCCCAAATGGACGGAGAGCAGGTGTAGGCTGCGAGGTTGAGGGGAGGTTGTGGAGGTGGCTTGTACTCCATACTTGTTCCCACTTGTAGGACTTTAACCTACGCCACACATTTCCCTGCTACGCTGGATTGTGTTGGCTGTGTCGTTTCTGAGCTGAGAACATTGACACTGAAAATGGATGTCACACAAAAGCGGGCAGTCGCCTCAGGGCTTTTTTTTTTTTTTGTGTGGTGGTGGTGGGGGGGGGGGGGGTGGTTACCACGGCAACTGCACAGTGTGTATGTATTGCTCACCAGGCACAAAACACCATGCAATCTTGAAGCAGAGTGTGCAGTTTTTATGACGCTGAGTTTCTGAATTTCTATGACTGACTGTGAGGGGTGCTCTGTGTGTGTTTGTGCATGTGCATGTGTGTGTGTGTCTCTGTGTGTGTGTGTGAGAGAGAGTGAGTGAGTGTGTGCGCGTCGATCTCACCAGGACAGAGTACTCAACGTCGTCACCCAACAGGCCTGTGTCATTGAGGGTGTATTTGGCTTTCTTCACTCTGACATCCACGGGGCCTTTCTCAATCTGGTGCTTGATGGCTTTGAACAGTTTGTACAAGGGCTCGCCTGCAGAGTCCTGTTACACACACACACACACACACACACACACACACAACACACACACAAACACAGACACACAGAGGCACACAAAACCATTTAGCTTGACACAGCTGTTGTAAAGCAGCTAATTGTTGTGATTAGCAGCTTAAAAGTCAAATAAATTGGCACTTTCAACACGAGCACTAATGAAAGAAATGCAGAAATCCATAAAGCCCACAGTTTAATATTGAAGCATGCGATCATACTTTTTTTTTAAAATAACTGATAAAGTATATTCACTCCTTAAAAAAATGTATTGAACAACATCTATATTTTTCAGACCACCAGTCTATACCATAAAGTTCACTGTAACACGGAACAGCTACTAAAATCAAAACATATCAGAGCTGCAACCAGAAAATATTCAAATCAAATCAATCTCCTGTCAGTCACTGCATCATTTCCAGTGACCCAAAACTTGCATTACCTTCAAAAACTGGTAAAGGCAGATTGACATCCAGTTACACAGCATCCGCTCCACCACTGTCTCTGACCTGAAAAACATATTTGTTGAGTTATTTTTACTCTTATTATGAAAATAAAATGTATTTATTTAGTGTAAAATACTGCATATCAAGAGACACGGCATGAAACAGACACCAGTATAAATAAAGGTATTGGGCCACACCTTTTAATCTTTGAATTCAGGTGTTTTTCCAGTTCCAATAAAATCAAGCCATGCAGTCATGTGTGTGAAAGAAAGAGTTCACTAAAATCAAGCATGGCACTGTAAGAGCATGCCACCTTTTCAATAAGTCACTTTGTGAAATTTCTTCCCTCTTTGACATTGCATGCAGTAATAAATGATAATATTGTAAAGTGGAAGCATTTAGGAACCACAGCAACTTAGCCACAATGTGGCAGACCGGAGCAGGGCTGCTGACTGCTAAGGTGCACGCTGACTCAATAACTGCAGACTTCCAAAATTCCTCTGGCATTAACATCAGCAAACCCTGTGCACAGCGAGCTTCCTGGCAGGATTTCCATGGTTGAGCGCCTCCTGTAGGTGTATCATGTATGCAGCCCAGTACTTTTGTCTATATAGTGTTTGTTGATAAGGGGAAAGTCTACACTACAGAGCCTCTGAAGTTGCATAAGGTGAGCTTATATATAGTGGTGTGGAAAAAGTGTTTGCCCCTTTCCTGATTTCCTATTTTTTTGTATGTTTGTCACACTAAAATGGTTCACATCACCAACCAAATTTAAATATTAGACAAACACGAGCAAACACAAAATGCAGTTTCTAAATGAAGAGGTTTATTATTAAGGGGAAAAAATTCCTGGGGCTGTTTTGCTGCCTCGGGACTTGGAGGACTTGCTGTGGTAAATGGAACCCAGAATTCTGCTATCCAGCAAAACATCCTGAAGGAGAATGTCCAGCCATCTGTTGGTGCCCTCAAGCCGAAGACAACTTGGGTTCTGCAGCAGGACAATGATCCAAAACACACCAGCAAGCCCACATGTGCATGGCTTAAGAAAAACAAAATGAAGACTTTGGAGTGGCCTAGTCAACGTCCTGACCTGAATCTGATTGAGATGCTGTGGCATGACCTTAAAAAGGTCATGCCACAGCAAGGTTGGCCCAACCTTGCTGTTAAGGTTGGCCCAACCAGTTATTAGGTTTAGGGGGCAATCACTTTTTCACGCAGGGCCATGTAGAGGTTTGGACCCCCCCCCAAATTATAAACACCTTAATTTAGAAACTGCATTTTGTGTTTATTTGTGTTACGTTTTTGTAGTATTTAATTTTGTTCAATGATGTGAAACATTTAAGTGCGACAAACGTATAAAAACTAGGAAATCAGGAAGGGGGCCAAGACTACTTCTTAGCGCAATATGAAAAGACCTTCTGACATTTATCATTTATTTACAGAATAAATAAAGGCTTTGATAAAAAGCATAGTATAAATAACTTGCATAACCATTATTATATTTTTTTAAATCATCTTGTGGGACTTTATGGGCCTCGAATTATATACAGCTTGTCAGTGTCAAGATATTTTTATTCAGAACTCATGTCATTGGTCATTTGACAGATATCCCATCAAAATGTCAACTATTCACTGGTGATGCTCGCTGATGCACATAGCATGCCTAATTAGATATCTTGTATATAAGGAGGTCTGTTTTGGCACAATGGGCTAATCAGCATAATGAGCTTCTCCATTGGGGGATAATTAAGATGTGTACTTGCATAACAGTCAGTCACAGCGTGCCTAGGCACAGGGAATAGTTCAGATCACAAAACTGCCCCTCAGAAACGATAAGCAACTGTGCCGTCAGACAAGTGTGTCCTGCTGAGGGAGGGGAAGCAGCAGTCAATGGATCACTTGACCTTGACATGATCATTAAAAAGATCAAAGAACACCAAAATCTGGAAGCTTCGTTTCTTAAGGCTATTTACTTCAATCAGATTAATAAGCTGAATGTTTATGGACTCAAATTTCACAAAGAAATTCTGAAATTTTGCCCAGGAAGAATATAGCGAACGATTACTATTAAAACAATCAAATCAGTGACAGAAAATAACTCACCAGTATGTGGTCAGTTTTTAAAAATACTAATTATTGTTAGCAAAACAATAATTACTTATAATTTCACACCAACCCAAATTTTACAACCAGTCTCCACTTAGCTGGAAAGTCTAACTAATAAAATAGAATCTGGGTTAGGGTTACGCTGGCTCAAGCACTAAAGCTGATCTTTTTAGTTACAATCAGCAGGGATAAGAAGGTGAAGATGACAAAGACGAGATGAAAGAGAAGAAAGAAAATTGTCCAGCACATTTTACTTGGATTCCAATGAGGAAAAACAAAAAAAAGAGGAAAAAACAGAAGGATGAGCAGATGGAAGAAGACTGGAATAGATGGAGCAGCAGTCTGGCTCTTGATAATGGACTACAGTAAGTCTTTACAAAATTCAACAGAAAACATGGCAACAGAATGAAACAGTCCGCTGCATTCTGAACTGAATCCCAGTCCGCATCAACTGGTTCATATCAGTGCCAGAGTTGAGCGACTCTGCTTCAAAACTGCAGAAAGAGGACATTTTACAATCTCAGAGCAATTACTGCTAAACAAATCTAAGAGTCCACCCAGAAGAGTGGCACCGACTGAGGCAGCAGCACACAGAGCTAAGTAGGTTAGCATGCAAAAAGCAGGTGTTTACTGTTACAGTTTTGACCTAGAAAGATCTAGAAAGAGGATATGAATGTTTGCACCAGATTTCAAGGCACTGAATGGGAAGCAAGCACCAAAACATTTTGGATTCATGCTATGTAAAAATGTTGTGCTAATTAAGCATGAAAGCAATACAGGAGAACCATTAATAAGCAACAGAGAGTTGGACCACACTCACCTGCGCAGCATTAGTTTGGGGTTCTTGCTGTTGACATATTCCTCCATCAGCTCCAACAACAGTGTTCTCATAATGTCGGTGTAATATTCCAGCTTCCCATGCAGAGCTACTGTTAACAGGGAGGCAAAGTAAACCTTGGCCCTGGCGTTAAAGTCATGACTGCGCTCCAGGGTACGGATAAACTGCAAAAACACAAAAATCACACACATACACACACAGAAACAGGAGGCAAATGATGAGGTGAATTAATCATCGTGATGAAGCACACACAGAAGCAAATCCAACATAATATGCTTTTAAATTATCAAAAGACCAATGCTAGTGAAAATTATAATTATCAAGGTAAATTTAGTTCTGCCCTGTAAAATACTGTGGCTTAGAAATGATACCAATTAGTGGAAGAGGAATCACCCCACAAGTGCAGTTAGCACCTCAGAGGCTGTTTCTGTGCCAGCAATATTGGATTAACAGGAATCTTCACACGTCTCCCTCTGCTATGTCCTCTGCCTCTCGCTTGTATTACTGTAGATATGCCGCAAAACTGTAACACACTACAGTGCTCAATTCAAAGGAAGGGGGCGGCTTAAAGTTACAATAGATCCTTAATCTGTGAGGTATTCAGCCCATTTTAAAAACACCATCAATATAGTATCATACAAACATTTAGCTAAGTAGCTCAAGGTAATGGCTGGAGCTGACCATCTCTTTTTCTTTTTCAAAAAAACAAAAACAAAAAACCCCACACACATATTATCAGAAATGCTAGTGAAAAAGAAAACCTCCCCTGCATTTATCCTGCTGCCTTTCAAGACTATTTTCTCCCGTCCTATTACCACAGCCACCTTGTGACTCCTTGTGCCACAAACCTCCACTGTCGTCTAAATACATATAAAAGAGCTGTATTGGTGCATTCAGTGATTTACCTCTTTCATTACACAAGGCCACTTTAGTTCATTCAGAAACAACTCCACAACTACATTTGTGATTTTCTCAGTAAATCAGCTTATGCCTAGAGAGTTTATGCAGTGGTGCAAATCTGGCAAGCTCAGAGGAAATTGTTGCAATGCTGCCACTTTTGCAAGTCAACTCCATTTATGGTATACAGTATGCTACATCTCATGAATTAATAGGCCAATCTTTATATCTGTCTGTCTGTTCTTCACCCTTCTCGACATCTGTTCACCCACTGTGCTTGAAACTTGATGCATAAGGACTCTGGTATTGATGGTGCTCTGATGGGTTTGGATTCACTTGGATGAGCAGTTGAAATAATGCAGTTTAGAAATAAGCCTCCAGTGACTGACATTTATATAACATATGAAGTAACATTAGTGATTACGTGTCTAAATTTAGACTGACTGATGTTTCATAAGAGTCTAAATCTGTGCTAGCTGCAAGCTGAGAGTCTTTACTGTGAGCTAAATGTTAAAGTCATAATGCCAAAATGATCCAAGCTGCATGATATTTAGCAGGTATAATAGTCTCACATTACTATCATCTCATGTAATGTTAATTAGCATTTGCCATTTAGCACTAAAAACAAACTACAGCTGAGGTTGATAGGAATGTCAATATTTTTTAAGTACTTCTTATTGTGTTAGCCCAAATTAGTTGAAATATTCTTTCTGAGCTGACTGTAGTTCAAGAGGAAAAGTCACTGGAACACCCAAGTTTTTCCAAATTATCCTGTGGGGTACAGTAATGTCTGTGCAGTCTCTCAAGCAACCGGCATCATTTCACTCAGACAAGCAAATCCCAGACTGCTGGTGGTATTATTAGAGAAGTTAGAGGGATCACCAAAGCCATCCATCATCCTAGAATCATAAATGTCTTTGTAAAACTTGATAGTGATCTATTTGAAGTGTACCAACTGACTCTGACATCCTCAGAGTCCTGGTCCCAGTGAAGCTAAAAAGAAAGCTTTGAAAATCTAGATGTATCCAGCATTGTTCAGTGTTTGGAGGTTTGATTTTGCACAGTTTTAAAGGACTGCAAACTCTCTGTAAGCAGGCATTATCGGTCCGAGCTCACAGCTGACAATTTGATGATGCGTGTGCAGTATAATTACATTAATGAGGAATGTCTTGGAGTTCAGGAGGTTGGAGAACTGGTTGAGAGACTGAATCACGGTGGCCTTGCGAGCCTCTGGTATATCTAGCTTCCCTGTGATCATCACATCATTGGCACCGTCCTTAGAGGGCAGGAAGAAGACTCGGTCTGTGTACGTCTTGTAGTCCAGGAAAGGGATTCGTCCCTCATTCAGGTCATTGGTGTGGTCCTCCATCTCAATCATTAGGTCTGCGAGAAAGAAACAAAAAACACCACATGGTTTCTTTTTAATAAGCAACTCTTGTCACTTTCACACTGCTCGTCTGTCTCAATTACGATGCTGCAAGAGGCAGAAAATGGAGAGCATTGCCAGGAAAATGATTTCAACAGTGAAATATTGTTTTCTATTAATGTTACTGCAAAACTGCTTCTAATAATGATGATAAGATGACATTGAGTGGGAGAATTTATGCATTTAATCAGAGCTATGAACCAATTCATTACTTTACAGCTTCTTAGAAACACGGATCCTTAGAGGGACATTAGCAATATTGTGACGCTTCTGCACAGCTGCACAGCTTATACCTGTGAATTCCTTCTTGCAGCGGTCTCGTACACTCTCCTCCAGGTTCTCAAGCTGGTGTTTCACCTTCTCATACTCCCTCTCTGCCTGCTGACTCTTCCTCCTGAAAAGATTAAACACACACACAAAGAAAACGCATCATGAAAATAAGGTCAAACAGATGAATGTTAACTTGTTGCAAAGAGGTTCTTTTCTTTTGGCCATTAACTTAGCTGCAAGGTATCTATTAGTTCTTATTACGCAGTCGCTGTTGGTGCGCTCCTAATAATTTCTTATGAATATGAACATATTTCTTGGAACAGACACAAACAAACAAAGTCGTTTTTTTAAAAAAAACAAACAAACTAGCAAACACAATGCAGAAAAAGCTGGGACTGACTGGAGAAGTATCTATACTCTTAAAAAAACACAATCAATTGTGTGCTCCTGCTGCATAAAGTTAACCTAAAATAGCTCAATTCACCTGTAGCAGTAGACAGAGATAGTGATGATGAGCAGCATGGGCACAATGACAGCAGGGATGATGATGTAGAGCGGGAAATCATTCTTCGTCTCGTATTGCACCGAGTCGACCACCCACTCCCCTTTCCCAAACTTGATCTGTAGAAAGAAAAAATCTTATTATTTGCACAAGCTCTCCACATTTTAGCCAAAGTCAAAAGCAAAGACCGGACGATACCGGGGAGGAAGTAGAAAGATTAAATCTAAATGTGAATAGTTTAGATTCCAACCGTCAACTCGGCTAAAGCAGCTCTAGGACCTTAAAAGTATTTTTAAAGTATGTATGTTCAGGTTGGTAGGGTTGCATAAAGAGGATAATTACATAAACGTACCAAGTCTGACACTTTATCAACAGCAGCAGATACCAATATAGAAAAAGCTGGATTACAGTGGGGCAAAAAAGTATTTAGTCAGCCACCGATTGTGCAAGTTCCCCCACTTAAAATGATGACAGAGGTCAGTAATTTGCACCAGAGGTACACTTCAACTGTGAGAGACAGAATGTGAAAAAAAATATCCATGAATCCACATGGTAGGATTTGTAAAGAATTTATTCGTAAATCAGGGTGGAAAATAAGTATTTGGTCAATAACAAAAATACAACTCAATACTTTGTAACATAACCTTTGTTGGCAATAACAGAGGTCAAACGTTTACTATAGGTCTTTACCAGGTTTGCACACACAGTAGCTGGTATTTTGGCCCATTCCTCCATGCAGATCTTCTCGAGAGCAGTGATGTTTTGGGGCTGTCGCCGAGCAACACGGACTTTCAACTCCCGCCACAGATTTTCTATGGGGTTGAGGTCTGGAGACTGGCTAGGCCACTCCAGGACTTTCAAATGCTTCTTACGGAGCCACTCCTTTGTTGCCCGGGCGGTGTGTTTTGGATCATTGTCATGTTGGAAGACCCAGCCTCGTTTCATCTTCAAAGTTCTCACTGATTGAAGGAGGTTTTGGCTCAAAATCTCACGATACATGGCCCCATTCATTCTGTCCTTAACACGGATCACTTGTCCTGTCCCCTTGGCAGAAAAACAGCCCCATAGCATGATGTTTCCACCCCCATGCTTCACAGTAGGTATGGTGTTCTTGGGATGCAACTCAGTATTCTTCTTCCTCCAAACACGACGAGTTGAGTTTATACCAAAAAGTTCTACTTTGGTTTCATCTGACCACATGACATTCTCCCAATCCTCTGCTGTATCATCCATGTGCTCTCTGGCAAACTTCAGACGGGCCTGGACATGCACTGGCTTCAGCAGCGGAACACGTCTGGCACTGCGGGATTTGATTCCCTGCCGTTGTAGTGTGTTACTGATGGTGACCTTTGTTACTTTGGTCCCAGCTCTCTGCAGGTCATTCACCAGGTCCCCCGTGTGGTTCTGGGATCTTTGCTCACCGTTCTCATGATCATTTTGACCCCACGGGATGAGATCTTGCGTGGAGCCCCAGATCGAGGGAGATTATCAGTGGTCTTGTATGTCTTCCATTTTCTGATGATTGCTCCAACAGTTGATTTTTTCACACCAAGCTGCTTGCCTATTGTAGATTCACTCTTCCCAGTCTGGTGCAGGTCTACAATACTTTTCCTGGTGTCCTTCGAAAGCTCTTTGGTCTTGGCCATGGCGGAGTTTGGAGTCTGACTGTTTGAGGCTGTGGACAGGTGTCTTTTATACAGATGATGAGTTCAAACAGGTGCCATTCATACAGGTAACGAGTGGGGGACAGAAAAGCTTCTTACAGAAGACGTTACAGGTCTGTGAGAGCCAGAGATTTTCCTTGTTTGAGGTGACCAAATACTTATTTTCCACCCTAATTTACGAATAAATTCTTTACAAATCCTACCATGTGAATTCATGGATTTTTTTTTCACATTCTGTCTCTCACAGTTGAAGTGTACCTCTGGTGCAAATTACTGACCTCTGTCATCATTTTAAGTGGGGGAACTTGCACAATCGGTGGCTGACTAAATACTTTTTTGCCCCACAGTATAGTCTAACGGTGTCACTTCTTTAAGCAGTCGCTGACATATAACAATAAGAATTACCCAGGGAGAGGTATGGTATTCATCATAGTTGTGGCTTACCTATAATTACAGGCAATTATAGAGCCTGTAGCTACATGAAAATTGTTCAACCAGTGGAAAAAAAAATTGGATCTCAAATTGTATAGATGATTTGCCGGGAGAAGAACAGTAAAGGTTCATGATGCATGCATGCTCTCATCTTCAAGTCTTTGTATGGATCTGCAATGGTCCATTTACTCAAGTACTTTGCTGAAGTACACAGTTGAGGTACATGTACAAGGGATAAAGACCATGGGCACGAAAGATTTCTTTGCTCAGTTTTAATGCTGTATTTTACTCCACTATCCATTACCGTAATCTAATAGCCTGAGTAGTACCCAGTGTCCTCTGCCTTCATTCGTATCATTTCCTTATTTATTACAAACCAGACAATATAATTTTTTTAAAAAGAAAGAAAAGAGCCTACTAATTTGTCTATGATTCAAATAAATGGCTAAAAAGAAGCTTGCTTGTGTGTAACGCATGACATAGAGCAGTATAATTATAATAAACGATTACATAGAATCCAAAAGGAGCCTTTATCCATTACAGACCATTATTTTGAGTACTTAAAGTTCATTCTTGAGATATCTTTAAAACTTTAACATACTAAGATTTTGAGGCGAGTACTTTTATTTATGAAGCAGTGATCTTACAGTGTTGCATTAAAACGTTCACTGAAATAAGTGATCATCAGTCAGGACTCATCTGTTAGTGTGCTCTGACCATTAGCTCCAGATTCTCCGACCCCGTCTCTCTGTGCTGATGTTTGGAGCGAGTAGGAGCACGAGGCGTGGTGGAAGGTGGTTCCAAGAACAGCTTATCATCCTGAAGGGTGTTGACCACACACTGAACGTCGCCTACGAAGGCTTGTGCTTCTTTAGTTGTCATCGCTTTGGAGAATCCCCGACCCTGCAGGGGGAAGAGTGAATGTGAGGCTCTAAGGGCAGTGACTGAAGTACATGGGAGAGAAATTAATTAGACAGATCCTACGATGAGCACTGAAAACATTATCGGCAGCATTTTATGAGTAATGGGTAGGAAGTGTGCTGTACGACAGCTCCTTACTGCTCCAATATGAGCTAAAAGTAATTAAAAAGATAAAGATTGGAGTTATTGTAAGCACCTCACTCTCAGTAATTTCTTGAGATTTTGCAGCACACTTGTGGATCTACAGACATTTAATTATTCTAATATCGGCTGGAAGAAGGTGAAACCAGCTTAAATTAATCAGCGCCTGAGTAACTGAAAAGGTTTTACATGTTTTGCATATGACTTTCCCCACAAGTGAGTTTATCAACAGAAACTTTGAGGTGGTATACTCTGGGAGCTCAAAACAGCCATAAAAATAAGCTATAAGAAAAATCGATTCATTTTCTGGCTCAGGCTTCTCAGTCGTTTTTGTTTGTTGCATATCTTTGCCTTTTGTGACAATGCTCTATTGCACTTGTCAAACAAAACAAGCAATGTGAAAGTGTCACCTTGGACTTTTTAAAAAGAAGAAGTGGCACCTTTGAGAGGTAAAAATAATGCTACAAAACACGTGAGAAAATAAATCCATGATGATGAAAAGATTAAAAGTGAAAGAAACCGGGTTTTTATTTACTAGCTCATCTACATACTGTCTGATATCGAGAGCACAAAGTGTCAGATTAGCTATCGTAAAGATGAACATTCGTTATACTGTGGCTAAAACAATAATGTGTAGTCGTGGGTAGACTTGGAGGGCTTTTCAACCATTTGGCTTAACACCACTTAAAACTTAAGGTTATGTATATAACCCCGGTTCTCTGAGTAGCATGAGTGAGTGTCTCACTATGGGAACGCCTCCTGCGTGACCTCATCAGAAGCTCAAATACCATTACGCCAGCCCTTACAGGCTGGCTAGGTGACGCCCATGTCAGGAGGGGCCAGTGCCTCCCTATATAATAGGCTGACATAGCGTCAGATGTCATTCAAAACAAGCCCACCTCTTCCTCGCTTCCATAGCAAGGAGGGCGGTCTGGTGAGACACTCACTCATGCTACTCAGAGAACCGGGGTTATATACATAACCTTAAGTTCTCTTTCATAGCATTCGTTTCGTGTCTCACTATGGGAGAAATACTGACTCCCGGATTGCCAGACATGCCTGTTAAGAAGACAACTGTCCCCAACAGCACTTCACAGGGGAGAGGCCCCCACCCGGGAAGAACCTGCACTGAGGACTGAATGTGCTAGGTTAGGTGCTGTCACATCTAACCTGTAAAACCTAGCAAATGTATGAGGCGAGGTCCAGCATGCAGCTGCACACACCTCCTGAATAGAAACTCCCCCAAAGAGAGCCCATGAGGTTGCCAGACCTCTAGTGGAATGCGCACGTAAGCCAGCAGGGGGCTGAAGGCCCCCGCTAGTATAGGCCAAGGCAATTGCTCCCACTATCCAATGGGAGAGGCGCTGTTTAGACACAGGCTTTCCCATATGCGGTTTAGCCCAGGACACGAACAGCTGGTCACTTTGTCTGACACTCTGGGTTCGGTCCATGTAAATGCGCAGGGCACGGACTGGACACAAGGTATGCAGCCGCTGTTGCTCCTCTGAGGAGAAAGGCGGTGGGCAAAAGGCCGGCAGTTCTATAGGGGAACATGCGCCGACAACCTTCGGGACAAAGGCAGGGTTGAGCCGCATACAGACCCTCGTATTATCCGAGGAGAACTGAATGCATGACTGATGCACCGAGAGAGTGTGGATCTCTCCCACACGTTTAGCAGAAGCTAAAGCAATTAAAAGAGCCGTCTTCAAGGACAGAAATTTTAACCCAACCTGTTCCAGGGGTTCAAATGGGCAACAGGAGAGCGCAGCCAATACTGTGGGAAGGTCCCACGATGGAGCCAACGGCCTAGACGAAGGCAATTTACGGCGTGCACCCTTCATGAAACGGCATATTAAGGGATGCTGGCCAACAGTCTTTCCCTCAAAACCAATATGGCAGGCTGAAATTGCTGCCAAATACACCTTGATGGTGGAGAAGGCTTTACCCTTATCAATCAGGGCCTGAAGAAATGACAGAATCACAGCCACCGAGCACTGAAAAGAGATGGCCTGTGATTCTAAGCACCAGCTTTCAAACACACGCCACTTGTGCTCATATAGCGTCCGAGTAGACGATGCTCTAGAACACTGAATAGTGTCGATAACACTATGAGGGAGCCCCACCGTGTTCAGGTTAAACCACTCACGGGCCAAGCCCATAGAGCTAGCCTCTCTGGGTGGGGGTGGAATATCTCCCCCTGTGCCTGAGACAGGAGGTCTCTGCGTAGTGGTAACGGCCAAGGGGGGCCGCACAGCTGCTGAAAAATCTCCGCCAGCCAGTGTTTCCCTGGCCAGTGCGGGGCTATCAGGACCATATAGTGACTTCTCTCCCTCACTCTGGCCAGAGTTGGAGAAATGAGGGCCACTGGGGGAAAAGCATAGAGGAGGGTTCTCGGCCACTCGTGAGCTAGAGCATCCACCCCGAGTGGAGCTCTCTGATCGTGCAGCGAGTAAAACAGGGGACACTGAGCATTCTCCCTGGATGCATAAACGTCCACGGTCGCCTGACCGAATCGCAGCCAGATCTGCTTCACCACCTCCGGGTGAAGCTTCCAGTCCCCATACAGCGGGTTGCCCCTGGAGAGAAGATCTGCTCCAAAGTTCAAGATCCCCGGCACGTGAGTTGCTCTCAGTGACAGCAGGTGGACACTGCTCCAGACTATCAGTCTGTGTGCCAGCGTGTGTAACTTGGGGGACCCCAGACCCCCCTGTCTGTTGATGTAGGCCACAACGGTGGAATTGTCCGACCTCACTAAAACATGATGACCTCTCAGCCAAGGGAGAAAGTGTTTTAGCGACAGGTGAACCGCCAGCAGTTCCAGACAGTTTATGTGGGCGGAGCGCATGTGAGGGTCCCATTCCCCATTCACTGTTCTGCCCTCGTGGGTGGCCCCCCAGCCGGAAAGAGAGGCATCTGTGGAAATCACCTTCCTGGCTGAAACTGCCCCCATGGCAACGCCCTGAGACAAGAAACCTGGCCTCTTCCACTCGCGGAGAGCGAGTGAACAGTCTGCAGAGACTCTCACGCGACGGTGGCCGTCTCGGTGAGGGTCCAGTCCCCACGAGCCCACCCAGCGCTGAAAGCCTCTCATGTGCAGGCGTCCCAGTGTTATCGCCACTAGAGAAGAAGCCATCAGACCAGAACACACGCCATTTCGGCGTCCCGTCACCTCTGTCACAGGCGAGCGAGGTGACGGGCTCATCTGCATCATCACAGCCGTGGAAACGCGAGTCTCCACGGGCGGCGTTATGGCAGACGGTGCTCCGTTTTTCAGCATGTTTGATTTTCTCATGTGTTTTGCAACACTCGACAGCGCCCTCGGCAAATTGCCTGGGGCTTTTTTAATACAGAATGCATGAGGGAAGTGCTCGTGTGGAACATGTCCCGTTGAACTTGCTCTGGAACGGAGCTGGGAGGCAGCAGGGCGGCCCATGAAGGGGGGAAACTGGGTTCGCTCCCGCCTAGAGGAGAGGCTGTCAGGCCGGCCGCTTCTTCCTCCTCACGATCGCGGCAGCGGGGGAGGAGGAGGGGCCGCTTGAGGTCTGGCCTGGGGAGACTGCTTCCGAGTCCATGGATTCTTAGTGGCCCCGGCAGCCTGGGGGGCTGCCTGCGTCTTAGGCACTTTGGGAATCCTGAAAGCGGGGACCGGGCGAGACGCTGCCTGCGCGAATGACTGGCGCGGCGCTGCTGGGGTGGCGTGCTGGGCCCTCCTCGGCAGGCAGAGTTTCAGAGCCTCATCATCTGTGAATCCCAGGAAGGCGGCAGGTCCTGATGGAATACATGGAAAGGTTCTCAGAGCATGTGCTGACGAACTGACCGGAGTCTTCACTAAAATCTTCAACCTTTCCTTGTCATCAAACACCGTCCCGCCCTGCCTCAAAACCTCCACCATCATCCCCATCGCCAAGAAGACAGCTGTGGCCAGCCCAAATGACTACAGGCCTGTTGCACTTACGCCTGTAGTGATGAAGTGCTTTGAGAGACTGGTCTGTCAGCACATCAGGGCCGGTCTGCCTCCCACTCTGGACCCCCACCAATTTGCCTACAGGAAAAATCGTTCCACCGAGGACGCTATCACCATAGCGCTCCACACTGCGCTGAGTCACCTGGAGCACCGAGGAAGCTATGTGAGAATGCTCTTTCTGGACTTCAGCTCAGCATTCAATCATATCATCCCGGAGATCCTGGTCCAGAAACTGTCTCACCTGGGACTCTCCACCCCCATCTGCCTCTGGATCAAGGACTTCCTGACAAATAGACCACAGTCTGTCAGACTCGGCCCCCACCGGTCCAGCACCATCACACTCAGCACCGGGTCTCCACAAGGATGTGTTTTGAGTCCCCTCCTGTTTACGCTCTACACATCCGACTGCTCCCCTACCCATCTCTCAAACACCATCATAAAGTTCGCGGATGACACCACAGTGGTTGGACTCATCTCAAGGGGGGAGGAGTCGGACTACAGAGATGAGGTCAACAGACTGACTGAGTGGTGTTCAGTTAACAACCTCCAACTGAACACCACGAAAACTAAAGAACTTATCTTGGACTTCAGGAAGGGCAGAGCAGACCCGGCCCCACTTTACATTCACGGGAGCTGTGTGGAGAGGGTACACTCCATGAGGTTTCTGGGCGTGCAGATATCTGATGACCTCTCCTGGACTGCAAATACTACAGCGGTGGTTAAAAAGGCCCAGCAGCGTCTCCACTTTCTGAGAGTGCTCAGGAGGAACAACCTGGAGGAGAGGCTGCTGGTGACATTTTACAGAGCCACCATAGAGAGCATCCTAACGTACGGCATAACAACATGGTATGCAGGGTGCTCAGCTGCAGACAGGAAAGTACTGCAGAGGGTCATCAACACAGCCCAGAAGATCACTGGCTGCTCTCTGCCCAGCCTGGAGGTCACTGCAAACTCTCGGTACCTCAGCAGAGCTGGCAATATCATCAAGGACCACTCTCACCCCAGCAACCAACTGTTTGAACTATTACCGTCAGGCCGACGGTACAGGTCACATAAAACCAGGACAAACAGATTCAGGGATAGCTTCTTTCCCAGAGCTATCACCGTAGTAAATAAGCACAAAAACAATTGAACCTATTCCATACCGTCACTGTCATTATATTATGCTGCTATTCATACTGTCATTATATTAATGCTGCTATCCTGTATATATTGTACATACTATTGTTTGAGTACTTACGATTGTTTTTTTTGTACTTTTTATATTTTACATTTATATTTATTATTGAAACTTGCACCAAGGGAGTGGCACTCCAATTTCGTTGTACTCTGTACAATGACAATAAAGGCTATTCTATTCTATCTCCCTTTTTCTCCTCACATCTCTTCTGCATGGATGTAACAGCCGCACCGAAGAGACCGTGAGGGACGACAGGGGTGTCGAGGAGTTCCTCTTTTTCCTTAGTCGTCAGGTTGGTGAGCCCGAGCCAGCGTGCTCGCTCCTGAAGAACCATGAGGCCCATGGCTCTCCCAGTAGCCTGTATGGCTACCTTGTGGAGGCGGAGGACGTGGTCAGTTATAACGCAGATTTCATCCCACACTGTGGTATCTGTGTTAGCTGTCATGTCCTCTTCTAGCTCAGCTTGGTAAGCCATTAGCATAGAAGAGGCGTTGTGGGCTCTTACTGACAGAGCCGCTGCCTTGTAGCACTTATCTGTAAGGCTAGACAGGAAGCGGTCTGTTTTGGAGGGGAGAGATGGGGCCGATGAGGACAGAGACGTCTTCGGGTGAAGATGGCTCGCCACCAACGGCTCCACTTGTGGCATCCGGCGGAGGCCGATAGACTCCATCCCCTCACAATCCAGCAGGGAGCTCCCCTTGATGGGGTGTTTCTCGCTGTAAGGTTTTGCTTTCCACGTCACCGCTATCTCATCGAGTAGCTCAGGAAAAACAGGCAACACATGCTTCCCCGTCTTTTTCGCCTTCGGCAATTTCTTACCGTCAAAACGAGACTTTACAACCTCTGTTTGTATGGCGGGCCACAGGATGTTGAGCCTAGCGGCTACGCCCTTGCACATGTCCTGCATGTCGAGATCCAGGGGAGACGGCGGTGTCGGTTTTTCAACCTCGCCGGTAGCCGAGGGCTTTGCAGCCCAGCTGATGCTAGCCAAGGAGGTGGAATCGTCCTCCTCGTTAGCATCTCCTCCCCAGGTGACTTCAGCATCGCGGAAAAACACACGATCTCCGTGTGCCTCCAGCGACGGGAAAGCGGTCGCGATGGGCTGAGGGTCTGCCTCTGCCCAGCTCGGCCCTGGCGTTGCGGCCAAATCATCGGGCATCTCAGTTTCTCCTTGCGCCGCAGCAGCCTCACACAGCAAAGGGTCGCCGCCCGACAGGTTAGCCCGGCGAGCTAGCCTGCGGCGGAGTAGTTTGCGTGGGACAGCCGCGCAGTGGATACAGTCGTGTGCAGGTGTCAGGGCAGCCTGAGCGTGAGATAAGCCCAGGCATGCCGCACACACGGGGTGTGTATCCCAGGCAGAAATCTTCTTGCCGCAAGGACAAAGTTTTGCAACTTCGTTGGCCGTCGTAGCCATGGTTAGCTAGAGGGTTGCGCACGTTAGCGAGACTGACACTGAGTGCGGAGAATATTGCTATTCCTCGCTAGCGTGGGGTGAAAAGTGTTGCTACTTTTCTACAGGTATTGCTACCTAATGTGTAAAACCGCTAGCGTCGAAGGGTATTGCTACCTGATGGTGAAGCTAGGGGTACCTTTATTAGCAGAGTGTTGCTACTTCGCTTTCGGAAAGTATTGCTACTTCCCTGGGTGAAAGTATTGCTACTTGGCACCCGCACTATCCACAGAACAGTATTGCTACTGCTTGTATGCTAGTGGACAACTGAAAGCTGGGAACAAAGCGCCCGGCGACCGAGTTGTTCACTCGAATCTGTGGACAGTTTAGCTTTAGCACCCAATAGCACAGTTGTCTACAGGCTTCTGTGAGAAGCGAGAAGAGGTTTTTGAATGACATCTGACGCTATGTCAGCCTATTATATAGGGAGGCACTGGCCCCTCCTGACATGGGCGTCACCTAGCCAGCCTGTAGGGGCTGGCGTAATGGTATTTGAGCTTCTGATGAGGTCACGCAGGAGGCGTTCCCATAGTGAGACACGAAACGAATGCTATGAAAGAGAACAAAGCTTTGTTTAATTGGGGCCCCTGCCCAAAAAACACTGCATGATTTCAGATAAGTGTTACGAAACTACTTTTTGTGTAAACACTTGCACGTGCGTTTTCTGGTGTTAATCTTTTTGTGACCCTGCAGTGTTTGTCATAAAACAGTTTTACAGCATTACACTAAAAGCGTGTTTATTATATCATAAAATGAACATTTTTAAAAAAAAATCTTTTTTGCTTCCAAGCCAAAGCGTTCACTGAGCTCAAATGACAAATGTGCAGCAAATGCAACTCAGCATCTTTTCCATTTTTATCCTCAAGTCAGATAATAAGACAGTTTGTCTTAATTAGGACACACAGCAGACACCGACTCTTCAGGGAAAAAAGGGAAAACATAGTACTGCAACTGCATTAAAGTGACCTCGTGGTTGTACTCACAGTAACGATAATCATGCTGTTCGCAGTGATGATCTTGTTTTGTAGATTATTGAAGCTGGGGTTAGGGTGGTAGTGAAAGGGCTTCAGCTCCTTCTCCCAGTTGTCCAGCTTGATGACTGTTTTCAAGTGCTGGTTTAAGGAGCCGTTTACTGTTGGAGACTGAAACTGGATGACTGTGTCGTTCTTCTCATGGGCAAGCTGAGTTGGATAGAAGGACAGTAAAGCGTTTTACAAATACAAGCATGACAAAAAATGCAGGAAATTACAGCATGGAAAATATGGAGCAGCACTAAAAATAATAATGCAAACACTGGGCGTTACTGGAGTGAATATAATACATGGTAATAGACTGTGGGGGGGAAGAAAAAGCTTGTTTTGGTACAATGGGGAAGGTAAAATGATGTGCGTCTTTTCAGTCATTCTATTAAAATCTCAATCTTCAATCATAGAATGAGGCCTCTGATGAATCATAACTCACACTGAGTCACTCCTCCACTGCCTTTCTATGTTTGTTTGTGATTAACTGGACTGATGGTGATATTTCTGTCACTCTCATTGTTTCGACACTACGTGCATGACAGCTAAACTCCACGGTTCTACAAGTAGGTAAAGTTTTCCAACAGAACAAAGCAAAGGCGTCAAAATGTCATTATTAACACATAACAGAAAGACTGAGAACACACATTTTAAGTTTTCAGACATAATAGTACCGGTAATTCCTATGTTTTGGTATCTAGTGTGCAGTGTAACAATGTACAATATCCTGTGATTGAGACTCACCCTCTTTCTAAACATGTCAATAGGTGGTTAGGAAACATCTGGACTGTAATCAGGGTGTCATTGTAAATTCAAGTGCCAAACTTCAGAAAATAAGGCTAATAATTAAGTTAATAAAAGGTGTTAATTTGATATTTGTTATTTTTTCTGAAATATTTTGTCTTTTAAATAGTGATTCACACAGGGCTAAAATTGGTTTAGAAGTAGAATACAATAGAAATACGTGTAAAACTACCAATTTTAGACACACTCACACCTTTCCGCAGGGACCGGGTTCTCTAATGCTTATTGTGAGCAGCTGAAAGAAGAAGCACGTCACAGAAGTCTCTGGCATAATATCAAAACCAGAATTTCTTCAAATTCTCCCCTTCACCTTTTAAAAATCTTGCAAATTGCCCATTTGAAGGCATTTTGAATGTATATTTACACTCACTACTATAACATGCCAAATCTGTCCGTATACTCCTCCTACACAATCAGGATTCAGCATCCACATGTGGCACACAGCTACATGTTATCTGGATTAGATTTGACAACATTATGTTGCCTAGCAGCCACCTACAATCAAACTGCAAATGACCAACTTTTTGCATATATGCAAATATAAAACTTCATAAACGCATTGTATCATTTTCATTTGACAGCAGTAGCATCTAATTTGCATCCACTTAATTTGACTATTATGGCATCTATTATGACAACATTACATTGCCTGGCAACCACCTGACCTGAACTACAATTACATTTATATAGTAGAGGAAAAGTAAAGAACTCCAGGGGACCCACAAAAATAGTTTACTCTATTTAGAGACTGTATCAAAAATTTAATGTTGAATAAATCACTGCATTAATGTACCTGAAACAATGAGATCTGAAGGTATGTGAATTAGTCCAGTCTTCAAAATAACTTTTGAATGTTATTAACATTATATAGATTTCTATTTGATGGAACAAATATAAATCCATACCAATCTTTCACTACACATTTAACATCGTGGGAAGGTGTCTGGCTGACTGTAGCACACTTTTATTTTTTAGACAATGGAGGTCCCATAATCATACATACACATAAATGCATTTTGCTGTATATAAACATTAAATCAGTCCCATATTTATCTTCTAGATAAACAAGTTCTACCAACCCCTTTTTAAAGGAACTTTTCTCAGTGTGATTAGGTACATCACTTTGCCAACAGCACAAACAATACTGTACCATAGGTATGTGCTGGAACTTTAACATGATCCATCCATTAAAACGTTATTTTTGTTGCTTCCATTAGGTGTGCAACAGTCACATTTGGTATAAGTAAACATTTCGAAGCAACTATTTAGTAGGATTTTCTGCGGTCCAATCAACTGCGATTTAGAAGTCTATAAAAATCCATCTAGGTTGTAACTACAAACATATGCTGCACAGACTCAAGGACTCACAGGAAGTTTAAAATCCAAAATAAGAACTAGTTGGTCTTTACAGAGAATAAAACCACACACAATAAATAAAGTTCAGGTCAGCAACTTGACCTAGAAATCTACATGTTTTTAAATATATGTCAGCAGCCATAATGGGTCCTCATATTTGGGTCTGGCTCAGAGATGGACTTAAACCAAGAGAAGCTTGTGAGGCTGACCAACCAAGGTCTTTGAGATAACACTTTACATCTACTGCTAGTTTGTGGCAGCCAGAAAATTATTTTTCTGTCCCTTGGTAGCAGGGCCAGGGGACTTCGCTGGGACGGGAGTAAAATCGTGAAGAGTGAAACAGGCACATAATCTTCAGTAACCCTGATTCTGGTTTAAAATCATTTCCTTTAAATTAAATGAACAAAACTGCTACTTCTTAAGACTGCCCAGTACACTGGAGGGCAGACGGTGGCAAGCTGTGTGCAGGTCCTTAAAGTTCCCTGGCACAGTCAGTCCTACCTGATTGAGCTGGACGAGGGCCATAGTTACATTCTGGGTGAGGGTGAAACATTGGTGGTAATATCTGCAATCCTACAGGTTTTAGGGATTTATGGCTCAGGAAGTGACATGAAGTATTATAAAATCTCACTGATCAGTGGCAGCAAGGAGGAGTGGACATGTGTGTTTTGTTTATTGTTGTGTGTTCGTTTAATTGCAATGCTTCACAGAGTTTGAATGAATCAAAACTAGAGTTGGGGTTCATGAGAAGTGGGGGAATTGAAGAGTGGTGGTACTGTGAGAGAGGGAAAACATGGGAGAAAAAGCAACATTTAGGAGAAAGGGTAAGAAAATCTAAGATAATGACTGTCAGAGATGCATCAGTGCATTGACTCAGATGAAGATACGGAAAATGAACAGGAACCTCTGAAGCCGACCAGTTGCCTCCCTGGACCTTCATGATTGCAGTCTGGATTATGTCAAATCCGGAGCCGGTTACCACAATGTTCCTCCCTCCACTAAAACACACAAACAAACATATCTATTCACACCAAAAACACAGGAAAATACATATTAATCAAATGTATTCCCAGCCAAACAAAGACGAGAGCACAAGCTCACAGGACGACAGACAGTTCTTAAAATGCACCTGGGGTAATTTTCACTGGAGATGAAAACAAACTGTCGTCTGTTGTTTTAGTCAGTGTACCTAATCGTGTGTCAGAATTGCAGCAGAAAAAGCAAGGGAACCATCAAATGCATCAATTTTCAGCAATTATCAAGCAGTCTGTTACAACACCAAAAGCAGCAATGGTTCAGCCAGTTTCAGCCAATCACTATTAAATGCACGCACGCACACTCAGCAACTCTTGGAGGAAAAAATCCTAGATCCTAGTTTTAAACACAAGAAGTTTAATGACATTATTAAGGTTTCCCAAAGCTTCAGACAGAAATCTGCAGGGCAAAGAACAAGGCAGGTAAGTTTCTAAGTGTTCAGTTTTCTACATACAGAACAATCCTATTTGCCTGTGTCACTAATGTCAACTTGGAAGCTTTTTTCTTTTTATTTTAAAGCACATATTCAAAAGTAAAAGTCAGCCTGTGTCTTATTCTCTTATTTTTGGCCATCAAGACAGTAATCAGAATGGCATTTTCACACTTCTGAGGTTTACAGGTTGGGGAAATTTGGACTCGCAAAATAACAGAGTTAGTCAAGTCAGAGAGGGAGAGTTTCTTATCCAACTATGAATTTTTGATCATACCTACTCAGTAAGACCATATGTATGTACAGAATGCATTTAGTACTTGGTCATATTGGTCTTATTAGGTAGATATTTCAGATACTTCAGAGTGAATATGAAAAGTAGATCCTTGGAACTCCCTTCAGCAAAAAAAAAAAAAAAAAAAAAAAAAAAAAGGTAAAAATACAACATGTAACAAACAGATAGAGTGAATGTCACAAACACCATGACTGCATACTGCTGTGTTAAACTGACCAGACAAAGCTTGCATTGGGCTGGTGATCCTGCACAGTGGGGTTTTCAACAAACCGAAAGCTAGCCGGGATGCTTTTTGTGGTTCTCTTTCCATACTTCATTACGACGTCGAGAGGGTCAGAGGGCACTTTATCCACGCGGTATTCTCCTGTCCTGCAGGTGATATTTTCTCCAAAGTGCTCCCTGCCAAGACAAGGACATAGCTCAGTACTCGCTGTCTGAAGGAGTGGGGGTGGCACAAGGTCACTGTGCAGTGGAAGCCAACATGGCAGCAGGCTGACAGCTTGTTAAAATCTGTCTTTGCTGCTTCTCTTGCTCGTTATTTTTCCGTTACCTCTGCCTAAAATGTCACCGCGAATCGGTTTTGACAGAGCACTGGTGGTCACAACAGTACAGGAAAATTGTAAGAGAAAAAACTCCCTCCTCATTGTGACACTAAAGTTTAGGTCAATTCAATTTTTTGCTTCAAGAATATACACATATATTAAAAAAAATCAATTTATGGACTTCAAAATGTGCGCAAAGCAGAATTTGCATAGAATTAAATGTCTGAATAACAAGTAGCTCTATTAACTAAAGAGGCTGAATTGAAAAAGTTTGGTCTGAATGAGAATTATTGAAAAAAAGAAATCCTTACACACTGCAGTTCACCCCTCCGATGGTAACCTGGACATCTTCCTTACTGCCAGCATTCAGAAATAGTCCAGAGATTGTAATGAGGGTTCCCCCTGCTTTAGGACCTCTATTTGGCATCACCTCCTCAGGCATCGGGTCCTAATGAAGGGGAGAGGGTGTCACCAAATACCACCTTAATACACACTCATATTTCAAGTCCACACTAACTACTGGCAGATGCTGGCACACACTAGAATAACACACACAGATACAGCTCCATGTCAGAAACATTGCTTCTCAGCCTGATCTAACCCGACCCACTCTTTCAGAAACATTCAGACACACAAACTCCCACAAGCACCACATCTGCCTCAATTTGCTGAGCAAACAGTTAGGAGGAGCACTCCCCTGTGGGGAAGCTTTAGCAGAGCCAGAGATATGAAAAGCCAGTTAAATAGCTACGCTGTAGCCTCTTAGAGTATTAAAGTGACAAAGGGAACTGCTGCACAGCATCTGGTTAAAGAGGAATGCCTGCACATTTTGACTTACTGTACAGTAAATTACCACAGCAATGTGCATCTAGGTGCCTAATTTACTGTTACATTTAGCATGTTTGGTCAGTCTTCTTAACTGTCATGCCCTTGGTATGTTTTGATAAGAGTTTCTCTGGAGCTAATAAATGGAAAACATAAAACAGTCCATAAAACAACAAAATCAGCTGAAAGCTTTTGGATGAGTTTAATTTCTCAATAAAAAGTTGTACAACTCAACAGAGGACGTGCAGCTGAGGACAGTGTATGTGTGTGTTTGTGAGTGTGTTTGTGTGTATATGCATTTACCCTGTAGGTGAAGGAAACAGAGGAGGTTCCTCTCTTCCCTCCATTCACCTCGATCTCAACCTGTCCCCAGTCAGCTTTATCAGCAGGTCCAATCTCACACACAACTCTGATCAGAACAACAGAAAAAATAAATAAATTAATAAATAAATAAAAATAAATGCTGGGACTTGACCTGGAAACTCAAAACTGGGTAAAGAATTATTTACTATTTACATATTAAGGCAAGTTTCAACTGTTTTATGATGGTAATGTCCACTCTACTGCTAACAAGTCATATTTTTAAAATGACTTTTTTTGTAGTGAGAAACAGAATTTTACGCTTTCGGTTCGGTACGCATATGTATCGAACAATACAAAATTTGTAATTTATTTTATCAACTTTCCTTCTGACGATGCTGTCTGTGTTGAGCGCTCAGTGAATCTGCGTTCGACTACTCCGCCTAGGCTGCACTGTCGAGCGCAGATCCACTGACACAGACAGCATCGTCAGAAGGAAGAGCGCAGGGCAAGCTAGCGAGACAGAAGTTAAGCTCTCCTTGCAACATGGCAAATTGAACCTCCCCCACCCTCATTCAGATCTGGCGTTTGGAATTATTTTGGTTTTCATGTGATCAAAGGAGCTTGCAAAGAAAAGCGTCTGGACTTCTTTAAGTTGCTTGAAGACGTTTCACCTCTCATCCGAGAAGCTTCTTCAGTTCTAAGGTCAAATGGTGGAGAGTCCCAGATATAAACCTAGTGGGAGGGACCCCCCACAGAGGGACAAAAGGACCCCCTGATAATCCTCTAATCGCCTGAGCCAAGGTGGGAAACTGGGCGTGGGTCCCAATCAGCCAGAGTTTCGGGTGTGTTCATTGTGAAACCTGGCCCCACCTTATCATGCGAATTCCTGAGGTCAGATGGCCCAGGATGTGAGTGGGCGTTAAGGCGTCTGGGAAGGGATCTCAAAACTGGATTATAGATGGCAGAGAGTTGGTGTCGTAAACCCCCGCCTCTGTTCAAAGATGGTCGCTCACAGTGGACATAGATGGCTTCTTTTCACTCCTCTTTCAAACCATCTGTCCTCTCTGTCCAAAATGTGAACATTGGCATCCTCGAAAGAGTGTCCTTTATCCTTAAGATGCAGATGGACTGCTGAGTCTTGTCCTGTGGAGGTGGCTCTTCTGTGTTGTGCCATGCGCTTGTGAAGTGGCTGTTTGGTCTCTCCAATGTAGAGGTCTGAGCATTCCTCGCTGCACTGTACAGCATACACCACATTGTTAAGTTTGTGTTTTGGCATTTTGTCTTTCGGGTGAACCAGTTTCTGTCTGAGCGTGTTGCTGGGTCTGAAATACACTGGGATGTCATGCTTGGAGAAAACTCTGAGTTTCTCTGATACGCCGGCTACATAGGGGATGACAATGTTGTTGCGTCTGTCCTCCCTCGCTGGTGTCTGATCTTCTTTTCTGTGCCTCTTTGCTGACTTTAAGAACGCCCATTTAGGATAGCCGCACGTTTTGAGTGCTTCCTTTACATGTGTGTGTTCCTTCTTTTTCCCTTCAGGCTTAGAGGGAACATGTTCTGCCCGGTGGTGTAGGGTCCTGATTACTCCAAGTTTGTGTTCCAAAGGGTGATGGGAGTCAAAGAGGAGGTACTGGTCCGTGTGTGTGGGCTTCCGGTAAACTTCGATGTTGAGGTTGCCGTTCTCTTCAATGTGCACAGCGCAGTCCAGGAAAGGCAGACAGTTGTCCTTTGTGTCTTCCCTGGTGAACTTGATGTTCTTATCCACAGCGTTAATGTGCGCAGTGAAGGATTCCACTTCTTGTGTCTTGGAATCTTGTCTTGGAAAGAAGTCCAGACGCTTTTCTTTGCAAGCTCCTTTGACTACGATGACCTGGATGACTAAGAACCTTCACAGACGTTTTCATGTGATGTATGACCCTGAAGGTAAGCGCGTCATGGACTAAAGTAAAACAGTATGTTGGATGTGCCACGCAATGCTCAATTACATGGGTGGGAACTAGTGTGTTAGCTCAGTTAGCTCGTTAACATGTTGGCCGTCTAGCCCCATGCAGGGGTAGCTCGTTAACGGAGATTTGCCGTGTTGTGGCGTTAACGTCATTTCAACGAGATTAACGCTGACAGCACTAGTGGGAACACAACGAATATGACTGCACATTTACGCCGACATCATCCTAGTGCAAAGACAAGTGGAAGCAGACAAAAACAACAAGCATGCATGCTACAAACTTTACCCGAGTCATTTAGACAGCCGTTAGCACATGATTCTCCTTATGGGGACCTGATATGTTTAATATTGTGGCGAGCTCAGACAAGGTGGAGACGGAGGTATCGTTTGGTCTTGCTTCCCGTGAGCTAGCCAGGGAGCACAGCCGTTTATTGACATCTGCAGAAGAACACTGCGCTAGCTAACTGCTCAGCGTGGCAACCGCACAGCAACAACAACACACAGAGCGCCCTCTGACCCCGGAAGGACACACCGTCGCAGCGTCACCCGTCACTATGGCAACATAAACAAAACATTACTGTACAAACAGAACCCCGAACAGCTACATAGCCCCCACCTAAGGGGTCAGTCGTCCCCGACGACCCCATTACCCCACACAAAGTCCTGCAAATGTCCAGGTGCCTTCTTTTGGCGCACCGGCCGGTCACGACCGGGGGCCCGTTCTTCGTACGTCGCTTACTACATCCAAGATCAAATGACACATCCAAGACCAAATCATCGCGCTAACCGTGAGCTCGCTAATCCGGTTCTCCGAACACACCTGCTGTTGACGATTAGTACAGCTGGATGAAGTAATGTGAGATCACTGGGTGTCGTAAAAGGGGCTACGCATCGATAGTAGAAACATTGATCGGCAACCCTCTGATTGGTCGGCGAAAATGTCGAAGGAGCGCGCTCGGTATTTTTCGGCAGCAGAGCAAGAACTCTTGAGTGAGGGATTTCAGGAGTTTCAGAGTTTAATTAAAACGCAAGGGAACACTGCAAAGGCTGCAAAAGCAAGGAGAGAGGGCTGGCAGAAAGTTGCTGACAAATCAAACTCGTAAGTAATTTAATAATAATATTAATAATAATAATAATAATAATAATAATGGAGTTGATTTATATAGCGCTTTTCAAGGCACCCAAAGCGCATGACAATGCCACTATTCATTCACTCTCACATTCACACACTGGTGGAGGCAGCTACGGTTGTAGCCACAGCTGCCCTGGGGCAGACTGACAGAAGCCAGGCTGCCATATCGCGCCATCGGCCCTCTGGCAAACACCAGTAGGCGGTAGGGTAGATTTATCATATCACACTATATTATCCAATATTATATTACATTATATTATATTATAATATGTTATATTATATCCCCTTTCACATTAGAGCCACAACAGGACCCACTAGAACATGGGAACAAGTAAAAGTGAAATATGAGAATATGCTACAGAATGGTAATATTTATCACTTATATTGCTTTTAGTCTCTTGCAAAGAAACCCTGAAATAATCTGTTTGTTTGTTCATAACAGCAACCAAGAAAAGGGCAGAGCAAAAAAAGACAGGTGGTGGTCCTGCACCCCCTCGTCAACAAGTTGGTTAAGTAAATAATATCCTCACGGGAAAATCGATATCTCTCTATGAGCACACTGTCGCGCTGAGCTAAAGGATCCTGTCTGTCCCGCAATATACGCTGGATTCTGAGGACTCTCCTTATCAATCTTGCACCTTCCGCAATGGGTTGCTCGCGTAAACGGACAGGACATGGCTGCGACAGGCTTCCCAAATCCACCTTCGCTTTTATAGCCGTGGTCTCTCATCTTGCTTACACGAAGTAATTTACTATTACTACTCTGAAATATGACTTACATCTGTAATAATCACATACATGTAATAGAATGTTAATAGTACATTTCCCTTTTTTAGGAAATGACCTGTATGTATCTGTGTGAAATCAATAAAAGGATCAAGTGCTGCATTATCTTTGGTTACATTGATGTTATTTATTTATGGTGAAACAGTGGTGGAATATCGCTGTTGCTTTCGTATAAATGAAGCGGACATACCTGCATGGCCGCGATCTAATCCTGTTTACATAAAGCAAACCTGCTCCCGAGCAGGTTTACGCTTACGGCTCTGTTGCTATGACAGCAAGTCCCGGATGAGCTTCGGGGAACCGAACGATCCAAGATCACGCGAAATCGTCAACAATCAAATCCAGCTAACTTACTTAGCGAGGTACGGCGGGGGAAAAGTCACTCGGGTCAGAACATGGGGTGCCACCATCATCCCACTTCTGACACCAATGTGGCGAGCTCAGACAACGAGGAGACGGAAGTGTCGTTTGGTCTTGCTTCCCGTGAGCTAGCCAGGGAGCACAGCCGTTTATTGACATCTGCAGAAGAACACTGCCGCTAAGTAACTGCTCAGCGCGGCAAACGCACAGCAACAACAACAACACCAACACACAGGGCGCCCTCTGACCCCGGAAAGACACACCGTCGCAGCGAGAGGGCGTCACCCGTCACTATGGCAGCATAAACAAAACATAACTGTACAAACAGAACCCCGAACAGCCCTGACCCGCTACAATATGCTGCTGAGAATATAGCCCAGAAGAAGCGTATAGTATAGCTTTTATTTTGGAAAGAGCCATTTCTCTGTAATAAACTCTCTTTTCCAAAGATGAGTGTTTCCTCAATCAGATACAGGTGTTACCGCGCCAGATCCGCGGCCCCGAACCGTAGTAAGGAAACCTCTGGCAGTTACTTGAAGGTTCTGTAACTGACTCGTAGCCGGCAACAGCTTACTATACAGGTCAACTCCGCTAGCAAAAAGATCGAAGGAGGCGTAGGAAACTGCTTCACCGAACTTTATTTCTTCTCTAAGGCACGAACACCGCGTACAATGGGCTGAAACAGTTTACTCATAGCGAGCATCGCCGACACAACTCTGGCTGTCGAGGGAGTTATTATATTCCTTTTATTTATTTTCTTTTCGTCTCTTCTGTAGCTAACCGTTACTTTCCCCCTTCTCCGCTCTCTCTCTTCACACACACACCAGGCAGTCCCGCTACACACATCCCGAATACATTTCCCATCAGGCTTCATCCTTAAAGG